GGGAGGGGGGGAGACGCGCCGCCGCGCGCCGGAAAAGCGGCCCCGCGAGGGGTGGGGAGATCGTGCCCCGCCCGCGCGCGAAGCGTTGTGGGAAACGTAGTCTTTCTCGGGTTCAGTGTAGGGCTGGACTTGGGTCACTGAGGGGCAAGGCTCCCCCTCTAAGCTCTCGTAAGCAAGAACTCGGCTCTTTGTGAGCTGCCGGCACTGAAGCTGTGAGCGAGCGGTTTGGCTGCTGCAATAAATCAGTTTGCTCTGGAGCCCTCCTTCCTGAGCCTAGGCAGAAATGGGTGAGCCAGAGGCTAGAAAACTGTGAGCTAGCGGCACACTCACTCATCCTAGAGGGAAGACGGCTTGGGGGTGTTGGGTCGAGAGGGAACTGCGCGCAACAGATGGGAGGGCGTGTTCCGGCGGCTCGCCTTCTGGGACATGTTTGGGTTAGGGGCGTTTTGCAGAGCCGACTCTGACCGGGGCAGATGGCTAGCCCCGTTTGTGCTTTGCCAGCTCTTACACACAGACAGAGGAACAAACCTACAGCCCGGTGGCACCTTTAACACCAACAAAGGTTTAATCGAGGTATGAGCTTTCGTGCGCATGCACACTTGTTCAAATGTTTAAAATGTGTGCATGCACAGGAAAGCACATACCTCGAATAAATGTTTGAAAAAGTGTGCATGCACACCAAAGCTCATACCTCGATTAAACCTTTGTTGGTCTTAAAGGCTCCAGTGAACTCTAAGTTTCTTTCACTGCTTCAGACCAAGGTGGCTGACTGCCTGGAACTATCAACAGATGATCAGCACCAAACAACTGCCCTTTGCCTAACACTAGCCTGAAAAACGTGTTTAATCCTTCATCAGTGGATTCCGTAGTTTACCATTTGTTTGTTTATTTTATTCCATTTATATTCCGCCCTTCCCACAAACGGACTCAGAGCAGATCGCAGTAGGGTTCTAAAACACATAAACAGAACTTTCAGAAGAATTAAAAACCATTTAAGATAGCATAGATTCAAAAAGGAAAAAAACACACAAAGCAGGTCACACGATTTCATTATATCCATTATTTTCAAGGTGGCTCCATTGGGTGTCAAAGATCTTATTGATCCAGGTCGTGTTGTTTGTAGTAGGGATTTCCCCCCCAGAACCGACTCATGCACAGTCAGATGATAAGCCCCTTTTGCCCTTTGCCAACTCTTACACACAGACTGATGATCCGCACCAAATGGCCTTTTGCCCTAGCCTAAAAAGCATCTTTAATCCTTCATCGGTGCACGGCCTTCCCATAGGGGTCAACAGCAGCATCCACTGGTTTTAACAGAAGGGGATCGCACTCATTGTTTTCGTCAGTATTCACAAGCCTTGCGTCTAACGTCTTCTTCTTTTATCAGAAGCTGTTAGTCTGCATATTAAAAGGAGTTGGGTCCAGGCTGGTTTTTAGTCCTCTGGGAGCTGTGTTGTGAAAAAGGGGAAAGAGGTGTTTGAACAGGCTGTTTTAAAGGGGAAAGAGGTGTTTGAACAGGCTGTGAGATGCAGATCATACTGAGCATTCGGTTGCAGAAACACAGAAAGCGACACACACACACACACTGCACTTGGAGGAACGTTTTTAACCAGAGAAAATTCATAACAGCTCATGCTAACACTTGATATTTTTAGAACAAAGGTTGACTCCAATGGCACCTTTAAGACCAACAAAGTTTAATTCTGGGTATAAACTTTGTTGGTCTTAAAGGTGCCACTAGAGTCAAACTGTTCTGTTGCTTCAGACCAACACAGCTACGCACCTCAATCTAACTTGGTATAGAACAAAGTTTGAGTCCAGTGGCACCTTTAAGACCAACAAAGTTTTATTGAAGGCATGAGCGTTCATGAGTATGCACGCTTCCGCAGATACATATCTGATGCTTCCACCTCCCCCCCCCCCAATCTTCCTTGAAGAAATTTTCTTTAACTCGTGTTGAAGAAATTTTGTTTCAATGTGTCTGAGGAAGTCTGTGTGCACACAAAAGCTTATACCTTAAATTAAACTTTGTGGGTCTTAAAGGTGACCCTGGACTCAAACTTGGTTCTGCTGCTTCAGACCAACACGGCTGCCCCACCTGAATCTAGTATCAAAGCAAGTTAATTATAGCAATGGACACTAACGACAACCATGGTGAAATGCATCCTGTCCCTACAAGCAATAGTGCGGGCCTGTAAAGTGATGTCAAGTCACCGTGGACTTATGGCAATCCTGTAGGGTATTCAAGGCAAGAGATGAACAGAGGAGATAGGAAACATTTAAATCAATAAATACACATCCATTAAAGCACGATTTTGCTTTAAAATTAAAGCACATATACGTCAAAATTATGCGGCTGCCTGTCAAGATACTAAAACAAGCCCAAAGCCCACGTGGGCGGAAGGCGGAGCCGCCCCGGCACGGCTCGCAAAGCGACCACCCCCTCGCTCTGCCAATCAAATCAAGGGGGCGGCCACGCAGCCATGCCTCCCGCGCCGATTGGTACGCGAGACGCTCGGCGCGTTGCCACTCAGCCTCCTGGCGGCCAATCAGAGTCATGTGACCAGGCCGCTGGGCGGGGCAAATTAGTGACGGAAAAGAAACGCGATTAAATACTTGGGGGAGGGTTTAAATCCCCCCCCCAGCGACACTTTTTGAACTTTTTTTTTTGGCTGGGGGCGAGGTTTCCACCGGAAACGGAAGAAAAAATACGGCTCAGGGGGCCGCCGAGCTTCCTGACGGGAGAACGACGCTCCAACCATAGAGCCGCATCTCCTAGAGAGGGCGGGGGAAAAACCCGTCGGGAAGTGGGCGTTCCCCGGGAGAGGGACCGAGGGGGCGGGGCTTGCGCCTGGCCGTGGGAGGAAGGCTCGTGCTCGACTCCAAGCGGTGGAAAAGAAATAGAACAACATGTCTGTGAGTAGGCTGGCCGGGAGTGCTACGTTAATAATGGGCTGGGTGGGTTTGGTTAGCATCACCTTTGCTGTCAATCAACCCCGGGGGGCGTGTCTTGGTCTGCAAGGAAAGTCTTGGTTGGGGGCTGGGAACTGACATTCCAGGGGAGGGGGAGATAAATGCATTAGATC